CCGCCATTACGGCGGGGCCCCGGGCCGCTGCCGCGGCTGCGACCCCCACCACGCCCTCTGGGGCTGCCGTTGTCCGCGCCACTGATGCCGTTGCTATCAAGCCTACTCGACCGTGAGCTGCGGCCCCTGGACAAAGTGCCGCTTCCTTGGCCTCTGCCTCTGCCCTGACCTCTGCCTCTACCATGGCCCCTGCCTCTGCTCTGGCCTGCGCCGCCGTTGCTGCGGCCGCTACTTCCGGCACTGCTGCAGCCGCCCGTGCTGCCGTCACCGCTGCTGTGGCTGAGCGATTCCTCGCCGTCGCCAGCAGAGGGCGAGCTTTTGCCCACACTCCCGGCGCACGCGCGCCAGGCACCGCCAGCTGCATCGTGTGCTATGAGGCGTGGCCTACGTGGGTGTACCGTGCTGACCCGCCCGTTCCTCCGCAGACAAGTGGGCGCAGGTGCCCCTGTGTCACATGTTTGGGGTGGGGTTTTGGATGGCCCGCACGTGAAGCCGTGACTGATGATTGACACTGGGCATAACCAGTGAGTGGCACCAGCAGGCACATGGATCCACCGCTGAGCCCGCTGCAAATGGCGCAGGTGCGTCCAATTCCCCACGCTCACCGCTGCATGAGGTGGCGTGCCATCTGTGCGCGCGGGCCATGCTAGCAAAGCAACAGTTGCGAGACAGCATCGTTTCGTTGTATATGCTCCCACGAACTTGGAGCTAGCCAGGATCTCAAGCTACTACTGTACCGTAGATTGCTGCGGTGTTTCGAGCTGTCGGCGCCTTTTGAACACGCATGATATTGTACTTGACATTTGTCTGCAGATATGTGTTGCAATGTCCCATGGCTGCGGTGTGCACTGGCAGTTGCTATGGAATTGCGCACCTGCTCTCCTTAGTCACGGACATCTGTTGCGCCCCAGTGCCCCATGTCGCTGCAGCGTGTGTCCCTAGATGCAAGGATAATGCCCAAAAGCTGGATGTCCTGGGTGTAACCACCACTGCAGAACATGTACATCCACTCTGAGGGACATGCACGCGCTTCCACGCCCATGCCTGACCGCAGTGCCTTGGAGTGGAGGGACTCCAAGGTGGCCACCGCACACACATCTGGGACGGCGGAGGTTGAGGTGTGTGTGGACGCAGACATCTCACTGGTACCGGCGAGGCCCTCAAGTCCCCAGGTTGCAAAACGCTAGACGACAGACCTGCGCCGCCATTCAGGCTCGTTTAGCAGAGGTGTGGCCCCTGAAAATGCAAGGCCGCTGAGCTTTGACCTGGCATGCCTGCACCAGTGCGTCACTGTACACACCCTTATAATAGCCCACCATCCTTTCTGCCTTCCCTCTGAGCAGCACGGTGTGAGTATGTGCTGCCTCTGTCCCACCGCAACGTAACGTGCAGACAAGCTTGTTTGACGCACACGCCGCATGCAACCCACGTTTGTGGGTGGGCTGTCTGAAGGCTGTGGCAGGGTGTGCTTTGCAACGTGCCAGCAGGATGCCTGGCAGGAGCTGTCGTGTGTCAAGTCCGCCAAGCAGCTGTTGTGAACGCGGGTTACACGGGCGCGGCCTCGATCACCACCAGAGGCCCAGCCGTGGCGACCATCCGCTCGAGTCGGAAGCCGGCCGCAGCCAGCAGTGTGGAGAACTGCCGCTCACTCCGCTCCTTGCCGCCGCCAAACAGCGCCAGCATCTGTTTGAAGGCGGGGGCGGAGCTGGCGTTGTGTGTGGGCAGCAAGGGTCGCACACACACATATATGCCGGAGGGCTGTTCGCCATAGCAAGCCCGCAGCCGTTTTTTTTACTAAGCAGGGGCGCAGAGGCAGGACACATACCTGCACGTCTGCCATCAGACGCGGCTCCAGCAGCGCCGGCATGCCGGCCTCCGATGAGGTGAGCTCCACTATTAAAAGCTTTGCTCGATGCGCACGATGCCCACCACAGTTGTGAGGCCCAATTGCGGCACGGATGCCCCTGCAGTGTGAACGGGGGACGGTGCGTTTCGTGCTGGAACCAGCTACAAGTTCTTCGCTCGCATGTCCTTCGCGTCAGTGGCGCCCACAGCGGTGCGGAGTCAGTGACGGGGCCATCTGCTTGCAGCATGAATGGCCACCAGCTGCCCAGAATGCTGCGCGGCCGCTCACTTGAGGATCTGCAGCGCCTCCGCGTCGTCCCAGTTGTGCAGTATGTTTCGCAGCACGTACGCCGGCCGCACCGCGGTGGGCAGTGGCGGCGGGATCGTGGAGGCGTCAAACATGTCCCCCATCACGAACAACGCCCGCGGCAGCAACTCTGGGTGCGCGCTGCGCCACCACTCCGCGCCGCGCCGGACCTGTGTGAAGTGCAAAGGCGCGCGTGCAAAGACAAGGACTTGAAGCAACAGGGGCTCGGCGGCGATTGAGGAGCAGAGCGCAGTTGCTTGACCTGGACCTGTGCCGTGCCCCGATGCCAAACTGGCTCCTTGCTTCTCGCCCTCTGCCTCGCCCGCCTCCAAAACCAGCAATCACACCACTGGTTCTCACACCCGCCCACACTCGCGCTCACACACCCATGTACGTACCACCAACCCCTGTAAAAGCATGAGGCAGGCAACTGCCATCCCACTTGTCCAAAACAACACCGCACCTGCTCCCTCTGGTCCACCACGGCACCCACGAGCTTTGGGTGCCGCAAAAGCAGCGCCGCCACAAAGCTCCCATTGCCGCCAGCCACGTCGATGACCTGGTCAAACTGGCCCCTGATGTTCAGGGTGTTGAGTGGCGCATTCGTTCTTTTGTTGTGTGTGTGGATTTTTGTGTAAGTATTTGTTTGTGTGTGTTTTTGAGGGCGGGGTTGGTTGCGCATGCGCCTATGTCGGCCGCTAGTTGTTCCAGAGGTGCTTGGGCGGCTAGTTGCTGGCCGCCCCCAGCAAAGCCCTTAGCAAGGTTAGAATGGCAAGGATTGCTCCGCCCAAGCCCCGCCTTGTCACCATCACATAACCTGGCCGAGCTGCCATTCAATGCTCAACATCGGCCACTTCAGCCAAGTGCACGTCCTGCCTCCTCATCCCCAGCTTCAGAGCCCACTGAGAGCAGCTGCTCGGCCTCCTGTAACTTACTGTTCACACCCCATAACCCAGTTGCTCACGGGCGCATCCTGCCACAAACGCCGCGCCACACGCCCGGCCCGTGCTTCAAAGCACAAGCCCCGGCAACGTCGCGCTCACCAGTCGTAGCCCGCCACGACAGACGCGCCCCCCAGGTCCTTGAAGGACCCCATCGCCGCGTCAAACACCGCCCCCTTGGCGGCGTCGCCCGCGAGGCCCTCCCAGAAGCCGCGGCCCGCCCTCAGCTCGTGGGACGGCGCGCCGACCCGGATGCTCTGCGCGGATCGCAGGCGCGCAGGAGGCAAGAGGGGGAGGGGGTGGCACTGCCGGTGCTGCTGTGTTTCGAGGCTGTTCATGGGGTGCTGCACGGCCGCGGCGGCTGATGCGGGCGTTCCTCCCTTGAAAGATGACTAATGACGTTTGGGACAGGGAAGGCCTGCGGATCCTACAGTGATGTTGCAGCCAGGTCTGATTGTGGTTTCGGAGAGCTCTCCTCACCTCTGCCAGCGACGCTGCGGATTCGTAGTTGTACCGATACAGCCGCACCATGGCCGCCATGCTGCTCTTGTGCCCACTGCACAACACGGCTGTCAGGCTGTTCCCGTAGTACTCAAACTCATCTGCCTCTGAAAACACATCGTATGGCCCCGCCGCTGCCACGGGCCCCGCCCCTGCATCAGCGCCCTGTACAGCCGAGGCACCGGCAGCACGGCGCTGTTGCTGCCGTGGCCGTCGCTGCCTTTTCGAGACGACGCCCAGCTCCGCCGCCGCCTTGAGCAGCCGGTTGAGCCACTCGGCCCTCGCCGCGCCGACCTCTGCCGCGAGCTGTGAAGCGGTCATGGGGCCACCCTTGAGGGCCTGGGGCACCCCCAGCTCCACGATCGCGAAGAGCACCTTTGTGGGGGAGGGGGGGGGGGTGGCCGACTGAGGCACACCCAGTAGGATGGAGCCACAAGGCAGGTTGCAGAGCGGGCGCGCGCCGCGACTCTGCACGCGACTCTGCACGTGGCTGCATCTGCGGGACGGGCGCCCGCGCGGCTGGCCAATTGCAACGACCGGCATGCGTTCAGGCAATGCAAAAACAGCTCCATTCCCTCTCCCACGCGCCGCCAGCAGGAGCGCTGCAGTGCCCACCTGAGATTTCAAAAACACGGATGCTAGCTCAGCTGCCAGCATCGGGCTGGGCACTTGGCTGCGCAGCCATGTGCCGAGCCGCCTGTACCAGCAGCCAAATGCAAATAATGCATAAGGCAGGGTTGCCACCTTGGCCGCGTGGTCGCGGTCTGCAGTGCTCCACGGCTTCAACTGCAGCCAGGCAATGACAAGGGCTGCCGCGAGCGCCCAGGCGGCTGCGCCAGTGCCGGCCAGCACATACAGGGCGGTCGTAGCCGCAGCACTCATGGCGGCTGTGGCTGGTGGTGGCTGGGGCTGCCGCTGCACGCGCAGCCCCAGGAGGACGCTGCAACTGCGCAGGACACGTCACCGCTTGCGGCTCAATGGCGATGAGCCAGCAGCGGTACGATGTGCTGTTGCACCTCTAACGCCCACGTTTGATCTTTCAGCGAATGTATCAATTGTTATCTCTACCTGATCATAGGTGTGATCGAAGCCAACCCCGCTGCTCGTGCAAGCGGTTTGTTGCGGGCAGCATGCTCCGAGCGACTACAGTATGATACCATTCCAGTAAACAAAATCGAGCTACGTTCTATCAAGGTAGTCATTGGCTTCCTGCCACCTTGACGGGAGGCCACAGTCTGAGCTAGTGAGCTGGGTTTGTGAGCACCGAGTGCCGAACGTCTTGCGCTGCCTCGGATGACAATATTCGGGTGAAAGGCCACGACACTCACGATGGCAGACGACAGGGCATCACTTCAAGTTGTGTTGATCCCTCAACAGCATGGGTTGAAGTCTCCTGAAAGTTGTAGCTGCTGTGCACACACGAACGCAAACACGCGCGCGCGCGTGCACACACGCACTCGCACGCATGCACACACACACACACACACACACACACACACACACACACAAACACACACACGCGCGCGCACACACACACACGCG